GAAAAAGGGGGAGAAAAAAAAAGAAGGAAATATCAATCTTTTCACTACGCCCTCCTTCCCAATCCTCGCCTTGTCTACCCCCCCCCCCTATTCTTTCTCCGTAATTTCTACGAATAAGAACAATTTCATTGGATGGTTTTTGGATATTTTATGGAAACAGGTTCGAGTGATATGCTCGGAAAAGGGAGAGAACCATAGCGTTTAGACGGAACGGGTTGGAAAAGTGACGACGTGAAAGGAGTGGAACAAAGACAGACAGATACACACACACACACACAGAGAGAGAGAGAGAGAGAAAGAGAGAAGGGGGTTGATAGTGAAAGGGAGAGAAAACGGAAGGTACAATAAAGCGAAACGTTGGCGAGAAGAGGAAAGAGCTTCGCCCGGAGGATAGATAGGTATATCGATTGAACATTCGCGCTCAAATATTTAAACGCTATTACCCTCGGTCCGCGGCTCGTACTGTTATATACGACGATACGAGAACGCAGAGGGAAAAGGGAGGGGAAAAATGTGGTAGAAAGAGGGAGGAAAAGAGTAGGAGCATTGAGACGGTGGTCTAGTGTGTCTGAAGTCCTGTGTTCTATCGGACGATGTCAGTGGTGTGCTCATTGTCCTGTGTTGACCACCGCGACATTACTTTTTAGTTTTCGCGTCGATGCGACGCCCTTTTTTTGCTTAACTATTCCAACTGTACATCGACAGAAATTTCTTTTTATTTATTTATTTATTTTTATATGTTAACTGACAGAAAAAAAAAAGAAAGAAAAAAAAACAATAAAAGAACTTTGAGAGATTTGTGAATGATCGAATGAGAGCATTTTACGCTATCGTAAAATTATTACGCTACGTTGTTATTTCTACTTTCTTACTTTTGTCTTTTTCTTCTCATTTTCTTTTCGTTATTTATTTATTTTTTTTTTCTTTTTTTTTTTTTTTTTGCAAACTTTATTACTCCTACGTATAATCTAATTATCAGCAGGTATTATTTAACATTCTATAAACGGTGATTATTATTGTTATATTGTTTTATTCTTCCACATAATCTATCCTTATATTTACGTAGAAATTAACTTCGTTCAATAGAATCGTTATTATTTTATATCGATCATATATTACATATTGTATTATTAATATTAGTAGATATTTATTATTGAAATAAACGGAATTACTATTACTTTATTATTATTAATGGATTTTAATTATTTCGACGAAATTATTACAATAATATATATATACTTCATATCGTATTGTTACTTTACACATTTTCCTTTTTTTTTTCTACTTATCTTTTCGATATCATTGTCATGAAAGGGTATATTACTTTTGATAAATTTGTATTTCATTATTATTATTATTATTATTATTATAATTATTAATTGCGAATAAGTAAATATATTACTTTACTTTATATTTTCATTTTACTGGATGATTGAGAAAAATCATGGACGACGAGTTAGACGAGTCCTCAGACGTTTTAAGGTATTAAAGAACTCTCCGGTTCCCGTTCGATCCTAATTAATTCGCACTTTTCCAGCTTCGATTAATCCCGTGAAACGTTCTGCGGAATATGAAAGTGTGCGAAACTAGAAGAGAGAAAAGGTGAGAGGAGGGGGGGGGGAAGGGGGTAAGAAGGGAAGGGTGAACAAATATACCTTGTAATTATTCACGCACGTTAAATGGAACGACGGCTTTTATTAATTCTGAACACACGTAGAAACCTACGTACAATTCACTTCGAGCATAAACAACACGTGATCTTAATGTTCTTTTATATGTCGATATAATTCTCATATACGATGTATTAAAAAAAAAAAAAAAAAAAAAAAAAAAAACGCGTAGTTATTTAATTTTTCACGAATCCTCGATAAAAGCGGATTGATCATAGCAAAGCTACGATGATATTTCGTTCCGAGAATGATTGTATAATAGATTTGGATCATATCACTTACGAAGAAGATTACATTTATTCTGACGAATACGCGTGTCGATTAATCGTTTATCGAAAGGATTCGTGAGTGAAAGATAAATTAACCGGATTAACAAGATTACGCTTTATCCGACAACTAAAACTTTCAACATCGGTATCGTTGCAATAACGAAAAGGCGCATCAGTCGTGTGGCCTGATGGTTTACATCGATCGTTTTCTCTCCCTCTCTCTCTCTCTCTCTCTGTGCGTGTGTGTGTGTGTGTGTGTGAGTGTATATGTGTGCGTGTGTCTCCCTGTCCTTTTCTCTCCTACGTAGCTACATTACCGATAACCACGAGAGGACGAGCTTAGGAATGTAAAGCCGCTTGGCCATTTCAAGTAGAATGTTTCCTTTGTCCTCCCGTCTATTCTATCCTCGCAAAGCGTACAATTTGAGGAGCGATTCCGGTCGATCGGTCGTTGATACGGACGATGCAATCTCCATCGAAAAGGGAAGAGGGGGAATGGTTGAAGTAAGAGGAGAACGAGGTGGATGAGTACTCATCGTACGATATCATCGACGATCGAAAGACTTCCGAAGAAACGAAAAGATCGATCTATCGATCGAGAAATCTACCTTTGCGCATCACTTTCCAACCATCGATGTGTTGAAAGAGAGGAAGGAACTACTAAACGAAAGAGAGTGAGAGAAAAGATAAAAAAAAAAAAAAATAAAAAATAAAAAAAAGAAAGAAAGATGATAGCACTAACTTGAGAGGAACGAAGGAACGAACGAACGAACGAACGAACGAACGAACGAAGGAAGGAAGGAAGGAAGAAAAAAATAAAAAAGGCACGGAGGGTGGTGAAGTGTGATCGATGACGCACGGATTATCAAGCGGCGTGCAACCTCTTCCGCTCGCTCGACTCGTCGTCGAGGACTACTTTACCTCGTACTACCACCCCTTAACGTTTTCCACGAACCCAAGATCAATTCACAAAGTGTACCGAACAACCGACAACCATTATACGATCGAATCGGTGCACATAGGGTCATTCCTGATATATAAATATATCATTTTTTTTTTATACAGCAACGTGTCCATTCTGATTTGATATGAAATATATGATATATATGATGAGGGTGTGTGTGTGTGTGTGTGTATGTGTGTCGTATATTTATCTTTAGATCTCAAATAAACATACGTAAAAAGGATTTTCCCAAATATTAAATTACAACTGTTTGAACGGCACAATAATTATAGCTTTGAACGGATATTGTATTCGATCGAAATATATTACAAATTTTTTTTTTTCTTCTTTTGTATCTCCTTTTATTTATTTATTTATTTTTTCTTTCTTCTTTTTTTTTTTTTTTTTTTTTTTAATTTTATCGAAAAAGATCAAACTTCTGAAGAAAAAAATGTAAGCTCGAACGAGCGTGATTATTTAATAACAATTTTGTTTTATTTTTACGGGTAAAAAAAAAAAAAAAAAAAGAAAAAAAAAAGACAGAAAGGAGGAAAAAAAAAATTGTGCATCACGCGTAAACTCTGGGAAACATTGAAAAAATCTGAAAAAATTACAATGGGTTTCGTTGATTTTTTATCTTCCAATATACAGGTTTTCCCTATTTTTTTTTTTTTTTTTTTTTTTTTTTTTTTTTTTTTTTTTTAATGTGTGAGTATTCTATAAACAAAACCGTGACGAGAGATTAAATGTGAGCGTGTATATGTACGCGTATACGAAATACATATGTCATATATTTTTTCACATACCTGGTAATTGCACATACGGGACTGAACGACCTCGATTGATTATGAGCACTAATAAATGTTATTGCGCTGTTTCAAGTAATTTTTAGAAGAAAGACGTAAATTGCGATATTAAAAAATTGTTTTCGCATATCTATATGAAACATTTATAACCACGATAATTTATTTATTTATTTATTTCTGTCTGTCTCTTTCTTTCCCCGCGGTCTTTTAAAAATCCTTTTACGACTATTAATTCTGAATAACATATTTTATTTAGAGGGAAAAGAAAAAAACATTTTTTTAAATAAATCGAATGGACTTTTTAAATGCAAGTTAAATCGATTGTAAATAATTTATAAAACGAAAAAAAAAAAAAAAAAAAAACAAAAACAAAAAACAATACTTTAATTCCGTAAAAATCACTGGCCAATAAATAATGGCCAATAGATAATAAAACGAACATATTATTATACGTATGTTATAAAAATGACTTTTAATCTTTCCGTGAAGATATCAATCCACTCTCCTACCCAGAAAGGATTTTCTCAAGTAACGTCTTAACTCGAAACTAGACTTTGTCGAATTCAAAGTCGAATACGATCGAAAAATCGATCCACTTTGGGTCGTCGAGTAGCTTCTATTTACGTCTCACGTTAGAAACGATACGTGCTTGTCAGCAAAGAGGTAAAGGGGAGGCAAGAGGAGAATTGCCCCAATCGAGATTCGCTTTTCCGTACGTCGATCTACCAAATGCATTTTTCACCTATCAGGTTACCATTTCGAGAGAAGTCCGTCTCGTCTATGTATTTTCTCTCTGGTAAAAAAAAAAAAAAAAAAGAAAAAGAAAAAAAAAAGAGAGAGAAAAAGAAATGAAAGGAAAAGAAACGAAGAAAGAATACGAAATAAATAATAATAAGATAAAATAAAATAAAATAAAATAAAGATAAAAATAAAAATAAAATTGATAAAAAAAAAAAAATAAATAAAGACAGAAATATCGATTTAAAGGTTAATCATCGAGATGAGAAATATACAAGTCGTCGTTATCTCTCTTTGACGAAGAACCATCTGGATCGGATATATTTTAAAGGCCACGTGGGACACGATGACGAAGCCTGGTGCGTGCGTGCGCGCTTGTGTATAAACACACACACACACACACACTTAAGTATGCATCATACTCGTAAGTACGGTTTAAAAAAGGAGAAAAAAAAAGAAAAGGAATAAAGAGACATGAGGTAGGTAGGTAGGTAGGTAGGTAGATAGGTAGTGGTAAGTATGTATGTAAGTAAGTAAGTAAGTAAGTAAGTAAGTGAATTAGTACATGACTCACCGGTGTAGTATAAGGTTGACAAGCGAGTCTGATGCCGTCATGCCTCAGCTTCTCTTGCAGTAGCATCCTAAGTTGCATTCGAGGGATCCTGACGAGTTCAGCCTTCCCTTCTTCGTATTCATCCGCGAACTTTGTCAATTCTTGACCACCGCTCGAAGAACTAGCAGTTGGTGATGCCCTTTGTACATCCTTGTCGCTCGGTGGTCTTTCCGACGATGTTCTAGACGATTTTGAGCTAACATTATCGCAAAGACACTCGTTAGTTTCTTCTAACGTGAAATAAACGCTGGCTGCTCCCTCCTCCCTTAATGTCTTCACAGATTGTAATAAACGTGCACGGTGTGTTTGATTGAAAACACCGATAGCATCTAAATCGGGATCGCCGATTTGCTTGCATATTTCAAGATCGTCGTAGCCATTGTCGATGAACGATTCGGAATATTGGCCGAGATGGAGCGAACGCAACCACTCGACCACAATGTTGCTAGCCATCGTCATGTTTCTTCTATTCTCTTCTATGTACGTATGGTATATTTCCCTTTAAGTAATATTTCACGTTTACTTATCCGGAGTTTGTCCTTCAATTTCTTGTCTCTTCGTTCTTTTATCCTTCTCTTTCTCTCTCTTTCTCTCTCTCTCTCTCTCTCTCTCTCTCGTTCTCGCTCTTTCTTTCTCTCTCGTGTTCGTCTCTCTTTCTCTCTTTCTCTTTCTCTTTCTCTCTCTCTCTCTCTTTCTCTCTCTCTCTCTCTCTCTCTCTCTCTCTCGATTTATACTTAACTTTTATTTACCTCGTGTTTCGCATCATTTTCAAAGAACCGTTTTTCTCTTATCTATTCTATTTGTTTACAACAAATGTATTTATATGGTTACATATAACGTTCATACGTGTACACACACACACATATATATATATATATATATATATATATATATATATATATATATACTGGTAGGAACGTGCGTCGAGTTATATTTATAAAAATCGAGCTATTTTGTTTTTCTATTTTGCGGCGTTTCTACCGTCCTGTGTCCTTCTCTCTTTCTCAGTACAAGGCGTGTAATAGCGACTCTCTACAGGTGTTGTCGCAGCCCACCGTCGCGACGCCGCTGGGTCGATTCCACGGTCTCTCGCGATGATATAAAAAAAAAAAAAAAACAAAAGGGAAAAGCGTCGATCACGTCGTGGCTCGCTTTTGTCGTTTGAAACGCGTAGTACTACGTAAACGACAAGAGAGAAAGAGAGAAAGAGAGAGAGAGAGAGAGATACAGACCGATCAAAGTAAAAGAAAACAGAAAAATGAGAAAGGAATCAAAAAAGATAGAAAGAGAGACAGAAATAGAGAGAGAGAGAGAGAGAGAGAGAGAGAGAGAGAGAGAGAGATTGAAAATAAAAAATAAAATAAATAAAATATAAGAAGAAGGGAAAAATATGTAATAGTTAACGATCGATATTTAACTTTTTCCAGAATAAGAAATACGCAAGATAAATCGATCCTCGTGGCATATAAAGTGTATATTCGACGAGGTTTCGCGACGAGTTAAATCGTTTTGATGAAAGACAAAGACGTGAAAAAGGACGACCGAGGAGGATGAGAATGAGGATGAGGACGAGGACGAGAACGAGGACGAGGACGAAGGTAGTAGGGTAAAAGGTAGATAGGTAGGAGGTAGGTAGATCGGAGGTAGGTGGTTCGAATTTTTGAGGTCGAAGCAGCAACGCAAGTCGGCAGGGCCGAGTAGCCGAGGACCGGTTAGAGTGCTCGACGTCCTCGCGGCATTGCAAGCTCACGCGTCTCGACGACGAGGACGACGACGAGAAAGAGAAGAAGAAGGAGGAGGAGGTGGAGTAGGAGAAGGAGAAAGAAGAGAAGGAGAAAAGAAGGAGTAGGGTAAAGAAGAGAAGCGGCGTTGAGGAACGCGAGGAAGCCAAGAAGAGAATTTTTTTCTTCGAACCGGCTCCCTTTCTCCTTAGACTCGCGAATCTCTTTTCTACCTTTCGTCGTTGCTTTCACTTTGCGCGTCAAATCGAAATAAAGAGAAAGAGAGAGAGAGAGAGAGAGAGAGAGAGAGAGAATATAGAGAAAGGGAATCTGGAAAAAGAGATAGAAAAAAGAGAGAAAGAGACAACAATAACAATTAACAGGCGTTCGGTTGTCTACTACGGCAGCGACGACGGCCGCACGTTGACCTTCCTAGCGTGAGAGAGTGAGAGAGAGAAAGAGAGAGAGAGAGAGAGAGAGAGAGAGAGAGAGAGAGAGAGAGAGAGACGCCTACCGAGAAAGAGAAAAACGATATCCTTTGGACGGAGCGCGCTCAGTTCTCGTCGTCGAAACTATTCCTTGCCTTGGTGACGGGGAAACCAAGGTCACTGACAGGACGACGAAGAAGAAGAAGAAGAAGAAAGGACGCGAGAGCTTCTTTTGCTCGGTCACCCTTTTACCTTCCTCTCCTTCTTCTTCTTCTTCTTTTTTTTTTCTTCTTCTTCTTCTTCTTCTCCTTTTTCCCCCACCTTTTTCTTCTTCTTCTTCTCCTCCTCCTTCTTTTTCTTCTTCGTAACGTAAACTTTTTATTTTCCTCTCTATTATTATTCTTCTTTTATTTCTTCCTCTTTCTTCTTTGTTTCCTTCTCTCTTTTCTCCCCTCCGCACAACCGATGGGAACAGCGACGAGGTCACGCGGTCGCGTAGAAGAACGTTCACCGACGATCACGAGACAACGACACGACGACTACGACAACGACAATGACGACGACGACGACAACGACAATAACGACGACGACGACGACGACGACAACGACGACGACGACGACAACGACGACGACGAAGAAAAAAGAATATACACGACACACCGTCTACCGTTTTCTATTGGTCTCGTTTCTTCTTCTCTATTTCGAAATATTTCTTTTCAAAATATATATATATATATATGTATATATATATATATATTTTTTTTTTGTCGAAGTAACACCACAAAAAAGCACGAAAGAACGTTGACGAGACTAGGCTCGCCCTGGCGCTCTCATAATCGCGAGATCGGGGAAGGCGTCATCCTCGCGCACGACGACGAAGGGACACGCGTGACGCGCACCAAACGACGCTCTACGACGCTCTTCGACGCTACCGCGACGCGGCACACGGCTCGACTGCTCGCGGACACTCGCCAGAGGGAGCGTCGCTCGACTGCGCGTACTCTGCTATCCCCACCACCGGGACACACCGGCCGGCTCCTATCCCCACCACTATCATCGAGTCTACGACTACATCGCGCGATCGACGGAAGATATCATCGTTCCTTCTTCTTTTCTCCTTCTTCTTCTTCTTCATCTTCATCTTCTTCTTCTTCTTCTTCTTCTTCTTCTTCTATTTCTTCATCGTTTTAACTTCTTTGGTCAGCGCCAACGACCTATCATACTTTAATATTTCATACGATGATTTTTTTTTTAAATCTACGAGAAAAAAGAGAAACAAAAAAAAGGAAAGAAAAGAGAGAGAGAGAGAGAGAGAGAGAGAGAGAATGAGAGAGCACAATCTTTCATTCCCTTCTCTTTATATCCTATTTAATGAATTTAATCCTAGATAAATAAATAGATAGATAGATAGATAGTAAACGAATATGAAAGGACGTTATTTGCATATAATGTAAATATATCTTATATAAGCCGATAAAAAATTTGCATGATTTCGATCGATTCGATATTTTATATATTTCGTATACTTTAATGACGATATTTATATATTTCATATCGTTCGAATAATTATACTCCGGTAATTACGAACTATATAATAAAGTAGGAATGTTTTTTTTTTCTATTTCTTTTTTTCCTCTCCCCACTTCATTTTCATATAAAAGAAATCGCATGATCTTGATGTTGAATGTGTAGATATATGTACTTACGTACGAGCTGGGAACAACGATTCGTATGTTTAGTACGACCCGTAAGAGTAGAAGGAGGAACCATAAAAATCGTATGCCCGTAGGAGGTACTTATGCAAAGTAATGCGCGGAGGCGAGGCGCGATGTTTATGCGAAGAAAAGGTAGTATATACGTAAACTCTTCGTTCTCTGATGGAAAAGTTCGATGCTCTAACGTACATACATACGTGTGTGTGTGTGTGTGTGTGTGTGTGTATGTGTATGTGTATGTGTGTGTGTTACATACATATAACAGAGAGAGAGAGAGAGAGAGAGAGAGAAAGAGAGAGAAAGAGAGGGATAGAGAGAGAAAGAGAAAGAGGAACGTATGTCCATCGCTTCGTTCAAATTAATCAAATCGATAGAAGTCAGAAACGAGTGTCCGACTCATCGAGACGGACAAAATTAATCGAACGATTCGTCGTCGACGTGGCCAGGACTCGTTCGTCCCTCCTCCGTCCGTCTCATCGTGACACCAGGGAGTGACAACTGCCTCTCGATAACGCGACGTGACGTCGCGTGCCACGGACGCGAAGGACCCTCTCGATGCTATTCTCGCTATTTCCTCGCTTTGATCGAGTAATTTGCTTTCCCTGGATAACGCCGGAGAGGTGTACGAGAGGTTAGTACGGCATCCCTCTCTATCTAACTATCTATCTATCTATCTATCTATCTATCTATCTATCTATCTATTTATATATCTATCTCTATCTATCTCTCTCATTGACTCATTCACTCATTCACTCTAGAAAGGTTAGGACGTGGATGAGGAGGAAACGAGGAAATCGTCGATACCGCGGATCCGTCCGTTCTCTGTAATACGGCAAATTACTCGGAGTGACGTATACGTTATCGATCATTGTATTTCAAACGGCCTTTGTCGCTGTTATCATTCCCGCTCGATGAGAGTCGCAATCGAGATCTCTGCGTGACGATGCGAACGCGCGTAATTCGATGCCTCCGATATCTTTTTTCGAGGAATCCGCGTAATCTCGCGGTAAAGTCCATATAGCTCGGATCAATTCGCGCTTCTATACTCTTTCTCTCTATCTCTTTTGTTTCACTTCGCTTTAACCGACGACCTGATCGGTTCTTTCTTTTCTTTTTTTTTTTTTTTTTTTTCTTTTTGGTTTTTTTTTTCTCGAACGTGATATATTGTATTTTTCAAGGATTAAAGTAACGCTTAACCATGTTATCTTGCGATATTCATTGCTAGTTTCTTTCGAAGCGATTACATATATTCTTTTGTAAAATTTTTAAAGTGAAAAGAAAAGAGAGAAAGGAAAGAACGTAAAAGAGAAGTGGCAAAAAAAAAAAAATAAAGAAAAAAAGAGAGGAAAAGTAATTCTGTAAAATCTCTTTCATCTCATTCTTATCCTATTTTCTTCGTATAATAATATCCGTTTTATCTTTGTCCGACGAAGAAACGGTGTAAATTTTAATCGATTGTCCCGTCCACGCGACGTTTGATCTTTCGATTTCTGTAGAAACGTCGTTTTTGAAGTTTACGATCACGGTGACATCGCGTTTACGGGCACGTTTTACCGTCGCAAAACAAGCAATAAAGTGTGACGCGACCTTCGACGGAGCGACGTCGCGGCGCCTAGGATGCCGCGACCGGAGTTACGCCAATGACTGCCGAAAAAGTTTCTTCTTCTTCTTCTTCTTCATTTACTTCTACTTCTACTTCTACTTCTTCTTCTTCTTCTTTTTCTTTTTCTTTTTCTAATTCTTCTTTTTGAAATCTTTTTCGAAAGTAAACACTCAACTAAGATTGATTTTCGATTTGCATCGAACACGCATAGCTCATGACAAAAGACGTCAATGTGTTATCTTTTTATAAAATGCTTACATACACGTGTATATATATATATATATATTCTTTTTTTTTTTTGAAACGATCTTATCTAAAAGGAAAAAGAAAGATAGAAGGAAAGGAAGGAAGATCTCATCGTCGTTAGGCGAACCGCCTTTATTTCGCATCGTTAACGCTTTACGGTTGTGTTGCGAGCCAACTTCGTCTCGACCGGTCTTGTCGTCACAATTTTTCACCTTCCTTCCGCTACATTACTTACTCGGACGCGCGAGAACGCCACCGGACTCTGGATTTATCGTTCTACGTATATTTCATCGAAAGTTACGCCAGGCAACTGACCTATTTTCTTTTTTTCCCTTTTATTTTTCCATTTCTTTTTCTTTTTCATTTTTCTCTTTTTTTTTCTCTCTTTTTTTTTTGTCTTCTTTTTCTTTTTCACCAAAAGGCGAATAAACGTCCAGAGAACCTCGTCTCTTCTCTCTCTCTCTCTCTTTCTCTCCCTCTCTTTGTTTTTCTTTCTCTTTTTCTCCTTCACCCTCGTGTTTTCTTCTTTAGCGTTATACATAATATAATATCGCGCGTATAGGAGAACGCAAGCGGCACGATCGTACGTTTCGTTGCAAAGGCGTCAGCCTTTGGAAATAAACAGCGACGATAAATATTCCGCGAAATCGCTTTCCCTTCCCCACCTCACCCTAGCCCATCCCATCCCATGAGTTCACCTTACCTCACCTCACCCACATCGTAGTTGTGGCAACCGGTAGTACTACCCGTTGGCTCACTTTTACACAACACCATAGAGCAACGACGTCTCGGGGCCTCTTCTCCCCAATTTTACCCCTCATTCCTAACTTTCCTTAGCGTTTCCGGAATCCCGAAGCCGCGTGAGCATCGCGGCATTCGGTGTAATTAAACCTTAGGGAGGAGTGGACCTCTAGCAAATAAATTTTCAATGTCCGTAAATCCTTCGTACGTACGAACGAACGCTTATAATTAGCTCGGTGCTTTGTAATCGTTATGTAGAAATTTTCCTCTGTTTCTTTTTTTTTTCTTTTCTTTTTCTTTCTTCGTCCCTTTACTATTTTAATATACGCAATATACGTATATAAGATGGCATCTTTATCATTACTGACTTTTAATCAGTTATTTAGCCATTTGAGAAGTAATACTTTTCGAAAGGGAAAGCTTTCGATTTGTTCATTTTATAATTAGTTAATTTTCTTTTTTTCTTTTGCAATGATCTCGATGAATCGACAGATATGTAAGATCAAATGAATTTTCACAAGAAAAGTTTGTTAAAGTGAAAGATGAGTAATTGAAAAAAAAGAAAAATAACGTCTTATATATATATATTATTTTTTTTTTCTTTTTTTTTTTTCTCTAACCCACAATAAAACTCTCCGGTTTTGTTGTGGTCTTTCGGGGATCGATTAGAGACGCTAGATTGAAAGTCTGTACGAGACAAGGTTACAAAAGCAAAAATAAAATTCAATGAAAAAGTAACGTCTTATTTCTTCTTCTTCTTCCTTTTATCTTTTCTCTTGCCCCCATCTACACCATACACGCACGTAGACACACATACACACATACATATATACATACATACACACACACACACACACACACAAGGATACAAGACACCGTTAGCAAAATTCCTTTCTCTTTGAGTCAGCTGGTGGCATCCCTCTTTTGACAATAATGTTCGAATGAAATACTCTATGGTGCGACATTGGATACGAGTAGGATGCTTTTAACGATCCTGTGTAATCCACAAT